ATAGTTAAATTTTTATTTTATGAAAATTTATTTTGGAATTTAATGACAATTTGTTATTAAGAATCCAAGAATTTTTTTTATCTGATTGTAGCAGTGAGTAGTTAAGTCATCAGAGTGTTTCCAAAACAATTTTTTCTACTTTTATAAATATATCTTTAACAAATATTTTTTATTGTTTCAAATAATTTATTAATTTTTTCATTTTTAGAAACATGTTCTGTCTGTTTATTAAATAATCCAGATACATCTATAGGAGAATGTTTACATACATTTTGCCAAGGTTGTATATATAATTGGAAAATTGATAAGATAAGTTACCGTTGTCCTTTATGCAATCATCCATACTATAACTTTGAATTTCAACCAGGTATATTAATAATTTTAAAAAATATAAATATAAATTTTAAAATTATTTAATATTAGCGTAAGACTAGCAAAAACTCATTTGATATATTATTTATAATTAATTATCTTCGTTAAAACAATATTATTAAACCCAGCACAGGGGGGTCGCGGCACTTTGGTGAAGTGGCATAGTTGGATCAAGTATAATGATATCTGAGAGTGATTAAAATCACTATCAAAATAAAACGCTTCAATGCAAATCTTTAGATAGTGTTTAATTTTAAAAAATTGGTGTATTATTCCAAAAGCTACATGATCTGCTAGTTCCTTATTAATATCCTGATTAAGATAAAGTATGTCGAATGAAAAAGAGATTATTAAAAAATAGTATTTCCCATAAAAAAATTATATTGATCAATACACTTTTCAATAAGTTATAGCATTATAAAGTTAAAAATGTAAAAAATAAAATTGAGAATTTTCACACAATAATAGCATTTGGTAGCCATTTTCACCATGAAGACAAGTCCAGAGGTCAATTTTTTTTTTCTTCAAATTAAAGTATTTTACATTACATTTAATTTAAGATATATATAAAAGTGTCAGACCTTCCGTAACATTTTCAAAAGTTAAGTTGAAAAAGTTAATTTTTTGTGAAAAAGTTGTCATTTTGAATCCCCCCCTGTATGTAGGTAAAAAGTCAGATTTATAAAAAAAAATACCAAATGATAGGTAAAGCAATCATGCATCTATAAAAAAAAAAAATTATATTGATATGTTCATTTTTGAAAAAGTTACGGCAGTTTTTAGTAAAAAAAATTGAAAAAATTTCGAAAATTAGCGATTTTTAAATTTGTAATTTTTTTGGAGGTTTTCCTCATTTACGGCGAACGAGTGAAATTTTTTCGATTTTTAAGGGTAATGTCTTCGACTAGATACAATTTGTGATCTTTTGACGTATCGTTGAAAGAAATCCGTTCTGTGAGAGCTAAGAAAAAGGGGTAATAGACACAAAAAAAAACACATCATAGTAAAACCAATACTTTCTCAGCTTCGCATCGAAGCTAATATTTTCCGAATTTTATAGTTAAATTACATGTATAATACCAAATACATGTAGCTAATTGATTTTATATAACAGATATGCTTTTTGTATTTTCAATTGATATTTGTATAAATATGAACTCACAGCATTATGTCTATGCTGTATTTAGGGAGGTATTGGGTGTGAATATTTTGGGTGGAAGTTTTCCAGGATAACACTGAAATATTATGCTATATATTATAAAGTTGAAGATCTTACTCAAATTTTATTTTTCATAAAATTTAAAAGAAAGTTTTATTATATAAAAACATACATTATTACATGCAATGTAAGATTTATTCATTTATAGATATGAGGTTATAACAGATTATAAGTTATATCCACAGTATAATACTAATAAATGATGATGAAAATGTTTTATTTTTTAACGATTTTTTAATACTTGTCAAAATTACACTGATTGTATACTAAATTTTTGTGTATATTAATATATCATATCAAACTGGTATATGTTAACTTTTGAATAATTGTAAGAAATATAAAATAATTTATAACCTTAATTATAAACAGAAAACTCCTTACAAAAATTACTTTATTATGGAATTAAAAAAAAAATCTCATTTATATAAATCCGTACAAATAAAATTAAGCATAAAATATTTTTATTTTTTTCAGATAATGAATTGACTGCAAATTTGAGACGTAAATAATAATTTTATTTGTTAATTTCCACTGGATATTTTTTTTTCGCTTTTATCAGCCCATTAAAGGCCATCGTGATATCTCCTCCAAAGAAGAAGGTTTCTTAACCAATTATTTTTCGGAACGTGTGGTTAGTCAGTTATGAACCCGCAGCAGTGCGTGTCAAACACTGCCTCGTATCCGAATTGGTCATACCGTATTAATATACTATATATAATATACTGGATATTAATATATTATATATTATATAGTGTATAAAAATTACTACTAGTATTTAAACAAGCTAATGAAAAAAATTGTGTGTTTTTAGAACTCTGGATGTATTTAATTAAATCGAAAGCCGAATTTTAATTTATTTTTCCTTCGATGATTTAATTATCATTCAATTTTATATAATTCTATTATGATTCAATAAAATATCCATTTTATTAATAGTAAGTTAAATCAATAAATCCATTTATTAATCACGCTACCTGAGAATAATATTTAACTGATAAGAAAAAAGAAATGTTATTTTTTTGAGTTTAGTTATTAAAATTTTAATAGAGCCAGAGTTTTAAAAATAAATTTATGATAATTTATAAAAGTTAAATAAGCCTCTTTTTTTGTAGCTTAAAGTATTTTATAAACGAATTTGAATTAAATGAAGTTTTTCAAATTTTTGATTGGTTAAACTAGATTATATTTTTTCAAGCTAAAAAATTTTGAACATATAATTTGTAAAAATAAAACAAAATGTATTTGTTTTTAGCTATTCATTTGAGGGCAGATTTAAGTAATGAGTTATAGTTTAGTTGATTTATAAAAAGTGAATAATATTTTAGTTTTGAGTAAAAATTTAACTTAAGTTTGTACATTTAAAATGTTAAACCTAAGATCGTTCATATAAAATTATTGTGATATATTTTTTTTCGACTTGGTCGAAGCTATGAGGAGTAAATAATATTTTGATAAATTATCATATATTAGCTACTACTAAAAGTATTTTATATTAAATTATTTGTTATTTAGATATCAATACCATCTCAGAAACTCTTGGTAAGAAGGAAAAATGTATTTAATATATGAGAAATTTGTTATTTATATCTATAATAAATTCAAGTTAGTGGCTGATTTTTCGTACAAAAAATAAAAAAATATAACGTTTAAGAATAGCATAGAATAGCGTACTATGTTTTAAAAGTATTGTTTTACGTTATAAATATATATCGCATTTCTTTTCAGAGTATTGTATGTATATAAAACAGTTTTAAAAATAGCTCATTAAGTGTTTATATACTTATCTAGAAGAAAAATCTCTTTTTTTTTTAAGCATAAACTTAGTCTAGAATTTGCCTGGACAAATATTAATAAAATCATATCATTGTGAAACCATTATTTTCTCATTTTCTGTTTACTTACAATAATTCTACTAATTTGGACAGATTTAGTTATATTTAAAGATGCCGATATTTTCAAAACATTTTCAAAATCTAAGAATGAAAAAAAATTATCAATACATAAAATGCAATATACAAAAATTACTTTTTAGGCAGGTTTTTAATAATATGTTCAAAAAATATATTTATACATTAAAAATGTTGAATATATAGGATTATATTGTTTCGTCGCTATTTAGAAGTTATGCCTAAATGCTCGACAACAGTATTTTAAGGGGCCAACGGGGGATAGTTGACGGCAACACACACACACATACACTGTTTTGGTGGTAGAAAAGTAAAGTAAATATAGAATAAGAGTAATGGCCGCCATGATGATAAAAAGTCAACTTCAGTTAAGGATAATGGCACAGTGGCCGCAAATTCCAAAAATTTTTAAATGTGCGGTCTGCCAACCTGTAGTAATACGTGTCACTGTATCAACAATATAGGCGTAGTTGGCGTTACAATAATAATATGAGATATGACCAAGTACATGTGATCGTATCAGTATATATAAAATTAAATATATATTTTTTATTTTTAGTTAATATAGTGTCTGAAGTTATGAGAAGTAAATTATAATTGGATTTATATTCACTAGATATTAATGAAAGTTTATTATATTGACTTATTTGTTATTTAGATATCAATATGACTTCAGTTTTTACTGGTAAGATAGGGAAATGATATTAATATACATGGAATTTGTTATTTAGACCTTAACGATGCTTCTAAGTTGTACGCTAATTACTCTTATAGATTTTTTTGCTTAAAAATTTGTAATCTGAAGACCAATTTCTCATAGTGGAATAATAGATCATCATCGTATATACATACTAAACATAATAAAGGAAAATTTATTGTCATTGGTTAAAAAATTTTTAGATCAGAGTTTTAAAAATAAAGTTATATCAATTTAACACAGAAAAAATATTGAATATACCATTTTTGTATAGTAGCATAGATTTCATTTTATAAAATAGGTTTAAAATTGAATGGAGATTTTTGAATTTCGCGTACTGATAGATTAATAATGTTTATTTTAATCATAAATAATCCAAATCAGTCTAAAATTTACATGTAAAAATATAAAAATCTCACAATTGTAAAACTAGTACCTTCTCATTTTCAATTAGCCTACGATATTCCTACGCGTTAGGCAGATTAAGCTATATTTAAATATACCAGTATTTCCGAAAATTTATCAAAATCTAAAAATGAAAAAACGTTTTTAATATACGAAATTCTTTATACAAAAATTACTTTTTTGGTAGGTTTTTTATGAGATATTCAAAAAAATTAAGTTTATTCATTTATAAATGTATTCATTCATTCATTTATATTATGAAGATATAAGTTCATACTATTAAAAATTAACTTAAAATGTATTGATTTTAGCTAACGACTTGAGCGAAGCTATAAGAAGTAAATGATAATTTAATAAATTTTTGTGCACTGCATAATACTAAAAATATTTTATTATTTAGATAGCAATATGACTACGGATAATATTGGTAAGAGGGAAAATTTATAATTATTCACAAAGAATTTGTAATTGAGATCTTAATATGATATCAAGTTTGAGTCTGATTTTTCCTATATAAAATAAAAAATATAACGTTTGATAATAACAAAATGTATTAAGTATTGTTTTAAGTTATTAATAAATATCGTACTTCGTGAATTTAATCTATCTATCTAATATTCAGAATAAGTTTGAACATAGTTAATTCAGTGTATTTTATACTTGTTTAGGTGGATATTCCCGAGTTATGAGTAAGTTTTTAACTAAAGAACTTTAAAGATTGTATAATAATTTCGTTTTTATTCCTCAATTCAATCCTTAATTTTAAATTTTGAAAAAGTTGTCCAGGATTTTTTACAAATTTTATTGTATGGAAGATTAAAGCCTTTTGAATATAATTATGATAAAAAAAAAAATAGCTTTTCCGCTATATATATTTTTTATTTAATTGATTTTAAAGTCAATAGTAACATATTTTTTGTAAAAAATCGTTCGTTTTTTTTTATTTCTTGTATCTCATTCAAAAACATTAATTATTATAAAATTAATACTAGATAAAATAAGTTTTCTTTTGGAGCACTATTCATGAAGATCTAATAAAAAACCTAGAATAGTGATGTAGTTCCACACACCTTCTAATCAACCATATTTATATAGATAGCTGTTTAATATAATGTCCGTATTAATAACACGAGATTTTAAAATTTCTGGTGCTGATAGATTAATAACATTTTTTTGATGTATAAACTTATAAAATCAGTCTAGAATTTGCATGGACAAATATTAAAAAAATCACATAAATGAAAAACTTTCTTATATTCCCTTCCTTTCGATAATCCTACATTTTTGGGAAGATTTAGTTATATTTTTAGATACCAATATTTTAGAAAAATTTTCAAATTCTAAGAATGAAACAAAATTATCAATATACAAAATTTATATTTTAGGCAGAATATTTATGAGATCTATACATTTATAATTTTGAATATATAAGATTGCATACATAAAATTCAATATGTATTATATATTTTTTAGTAAATTTAGCGTCTGAAGTTATGAGAAGTAAATTATAATTTGATTTATATTCAGTTAATTTTACTAAAATTATATGATTTTGGCTTATTTGTTATTTAGATACAAATTTTACTTCAATTTTTATTGGTAAGATGGGGCAATGATATTAATATACATTGTTTTGCTATTTAGATCTTAATGAGGCTTTTAGTTAGATGCTAATTTTTCTTATACATTTTATTCCTAAAAAATTTTGAATTTGAAGGCCATATTCTCCTAGTGGAACAATAGATCTTCATTGCATTATCACACTAAGCATAATAAAGGAAAGTTTATTGTAATTCGTTAAAAAAATTTTAGGATCAGAGATTTTAAAATAAAGTTTCATCAATTTTAACACAGAAAAAAAAATTGAACATGCCTTTTTTGTATGGTAGCATAGTTTTGATATTATATAATCGTATGCAGTTTTTCAATTTATTGGTGCTTATTAGTTAAACTAAATTGTACAATACTTATTATTTTTTAATCTTTAGTATACGGCGATTAGAATTTAGTAAATTTTTTTTTTAATGTAAGAATAAAATGACCACACGTTTTGAAAAGTGAGTCGTCATGAGTAAAACAAGAAGGCTGCAGATCATCAATAAAGTATTTCAGGTGTCAGTGGCATACCTGTCATGATAGATATAAATGTGCATAGTATGACTAGCTGACTTGCACATATCTGTTAAACAGTCCCGTATTTATTTTAAAAAACTAATGTAATCCCATCTCAATATGTACTAAACATGATTAAAAGTGTTTTTTTGCATATTCTATCTTAAATTGCGTGAAACAAATATTTAAAAAATTACATGATAGTAAACCAGTACCTAATCAGTTTCCGATTGCCTACGATAATATATACAACAAAATAACTTATATTCATTTAAAATTTTGTATATATAAGTCTGTAAGAAAAAAAACTTAATATAAATGTATTGGTTTTTAGCTAATAACTTGCACGGAGCTAGAAGTAAATAATTATTTTATGGATTTATATGCACTGGATAATTATGAAAATATTTTATTCTAACTTATTTATTGTTTAGATATAAGTACGACCAGAGATAATATTGGTAAGAGATAAAATGTATTTATTATATGAAGACTTTGTTATTTCTCTTCTATATCCTAATTTCTTAAGCGATCGCGGGAGAAATTTACGGTTTTCTATCCTTTAAATTCCACTTTTTCTCCCATTTGTCCGTTCTTGGTAACTTTTGACAGGGCTTATGGTTTCGTTGATATCTATAATGACTTCAAGTTAGAGGCTGATTTTTCTTACAAAATATAAAAAAATGTAAACGGGATATTAAAATTTAATAATCGAACGCTCAATACTTTTAAATTGTTAATTCTAATACTAATTTTTAACAATTATAATAATAACAAAACCCAGCACAGTGAGGTCGTGGCATAGTTGGGTCCAGTATAGATGATATCTGACAGTGATTAAATTCACTATCATAAAAAACGCTTCGATGCAAATCTATAGATAGTGTTTAATTTAAAAAAAAAATTTGTTAAAATAGTGTATTTTTGAATACGGTAGCCATTTGCGCATAGAAGATAGGTTGTCGGGACAAATTTTTTTTTCATTTTATAGTACATAAAATAAGCTTTAATTTGATATATGTTTAAAGGACGCTGTATTTCCGGAACATTTTTAAAAATTAAGTTAAAAAAGTTAGTTTTTGTAAAAAAGTTGCTATTTTTAATCCCCCTCAATGAGCAGGTTAAGTGTTAGATTTTAAAAATTATAATATCAATGAAAGAAAAATATCTAAGATTTTAGTATATAAAAAAATTATGTTGATTTGTTAATTTTTGAAAAAGTTATGGAAGTTTTAAGATAAAAAAGTGAAAAAAATGACAAAATTTACTGATTTTTAAGTTTGTAATTTTTTTGAATATCTCCTCATTTGAGGGGAACGAGGGAAAATTTTTCAATTTTTAAGGGTGATGTCTTCAACTAGATACGATTTGTGATCTTTTGACGTATTGTTGAAAGAAAGCGGTTCAGTGAGAGCTGAGAAAAAGTGGCAACAGACATAAAAAAAAAAAAACACATTATGGTAAAATTAATACCTTCTCAGCTTCGCATCGAAGCTAAAATAAAAAGTGTAATAAACATTACTATTTAAACATATGTATTCATTTTGTCATTAAAAATTACTTAAAAAACTAGGAGCGTATCGCTTTTGTTCCGGTGGTAGAACGAACACTAACAGGTAAAGGCCGACTGTTATTAGATAACAAAAAAAGAGAGTGATAAATAATACATATAACTCGTCAACATATCGGCGACCATTTTATGTAAATTAATATTACAATAAAACAAAATTAACAGATTTTCATTTTATAATTACAAAATTACAAAAAAATTAAATTAATAAATATACTCATTTGAATAATTGAAAATAATTTTATTTGAAAACATATTTAATAAACAAACATTCTACAAACCATTTTTGTATAGTAGCATAGATTTCATTTTATAAAATAGGTTTAAAATTGAATGGAGATTTTTGAATTTCGCGTACTGATAGATTAATAATGTTTATTTTAATCATAAATAATCCAAATCAGTCTAAAATTTACATGTAAAAATATAAAAATCTCACAATTGTAAAACTAGTACCTTCTCATTTTCAATTAGCCTACGATATTCCTACGCGTTAGGCAGATTAAGCTATATTTAAATATACCAGTATTTCCGAAAATTTATCAAAATCTAAAAATGAAAAAACGTTTTTAATATACGAAATTCTTTATACAAAAATTACTTTTTTGGTAGGTTTTTTATGAGATATTAAAAAAAATTAAGTTTATTCATTTATAAATGTATTCATTCATTCATTTATAGTATGAAGATATAAGTTCATACTAATAAAAATAAACTTAAAATGTATTGATTTTAGCTAACGACTTGAGCGAAGCAATAAGAAGTAAATGATAATTTAATAAATTTTTGTGCACTGCATAATACTAAAAATATTTTATTATTTAGATAGCAATATGACTACGGATAATATTGGTAAGAGGGAAAATTTATAATTATTCACAAAGAATTTGTAATTGAGATCTTAATATGATATCAAGTTTGAGTCTGATTTTTCCTATATAAAATAAAAAATATAACGTTTGATAATAACAAAATGTATTAAGTATTGTTTTACGTTATTAATAAATATGGCATTTCTTTCAATCTATGTTAGTATTAAAATTAAACATAGCTAATTTAGTGTTTTCTTATAATTGTTTAGACTACAATTCTAGAGTTTTGAGTAAGAATTTAACTAAAGTTTATACATTTAAAATGTTAAAACTATAAGATCGTATATATAAAATTATTGTAATGTATTTTTTTTAGTACACGCATTGGCCACAGCTATAATAAGTAAATAATATTTTGATTTATTATTAGATATTACTAAAAGTATATTATTTTAACTTATCTATTATTTAGATATCAATACGACTTCAAATTATACTGGTAAAAAAAGAAAATGTTATTAATATATATTAAATTTTTTAAGTAGATCTTTTTGTGGTATTACGTTTGAGGCTACTTAAATTATAAAAATAATTTATTACAAAATAATATATTAATATTTAATAATTATAGTTTTAGTTTATAAATTATTATATGTTATCTTTTCAACCTATTTTATTGTATATAGAATAGATTTAAACTTAGCTTGTCCTGTGATAAATTGAACTTGTTTAGATGACAATTCTGTAGTTACGAGTAAGAATAACTAGAGAATTTTTTATGTAATACTTTTTGTTCATTCCTTTGGAGAAAATGAGAAATTGTATATATAAAAACACACATTATTACACGACATTTAGGATTTATTAATTTATGATGATGATATTACTAAGGCAATAAGAATTTTTATGGATATTTTTGATTTCATTCTCTGAATGTTTAAAAATTTTTTACTTTAATTATTTGTTATTTAAATTATAAAATATAATACACTTTCATAGATTTGAATATCACTAATTCAATTTTTTTTATTATTTAGTTAATAATACGGCTTCTCAAGAAACAAGTAAGTACATAAGAATGGGATCAAATTAGCAAATTTTTGCACAAAATTTTATCGTGCAACCTAAGTATTAAAAATATTCCGGAAATACTCCGAGCTTCCAACATATTTTAAAATAAAACTTAAATCATATACTATAAGTTCAAAAAAAAAAAAAAAAAATTGTGCCAATTTATATTTTATGTGTCAATTTTGCTGTAAAAATTTTCGATTTCATATTTTAATTTTTCAACTTTAAATTGCTCTAACTTTTTGAAAAATGTAAAGTAATAACTACTTATAATAGAAGTATACTAATTTATATTTATTCATATATTAAACTTTTGAATCAATGAACTACTACTCAGGATATAATTAGGGAAGTAGGATTTGATGTAATTATGTAATTATACACCAATTTCTTAGATATGAAAATTATCTATTGCATTGAAGCGCTTCTTAAGGCAGTGCTTATAACCACTGTCAGATACAAAGTATAATTGTCCTAGCTATGCCATATATACACTGTACTACCATTTGTTAGCTTCGATGAGAAGTTGAGAAGGTATTGGTTTTACTATGATGTGTTTTTTTTTGTGTCTGTTACCACTTTTTCTCAGCTCTCACCGGACGGATTTCTTTCAACCATACGTCAAAAGATCATAAATCGTATCTAGTCGAAGACATTACCCTCAAAATTTCAAAAAAAATCCCTCGTTCCCCGTAAACGGGGGAAATCCCCCAACAAATTACAAATTTAAAAATCGCTAATTTTCGTTATTTTTTCAATTTTTTTTACTTAAAATTGCCATAACTTTTTTAAAAATGACCGAATCAATATAAATTTTTTTTTATAGATACTTTAGGTATTCACCTATTATTTTATATATTTTTGTGAAAATTTGACCCTTTAATAGCCCACAGAAAGGGTTTCAAAAAGTTAACTTTTTCAACTTAACTTTTGAAAATGTACCGGAAAGACTGATACTTTTATATATATCTTAAATTAAAACTAATGTAATATATTTACATTTAATTTGAATTATTTAATTATTTTAATTATTATTTAATAATAATTATTTAATTTGAAAAAAAAAAATTTGACCTCTGGACTTGTCTTCATGGTGAAAATGACTAACGTATTCAAAAATATGCTATTTTTGTGTTAAAATTCTGAGTTTTGTATTTTATTTTACTTTAAACTACCTGACAAGGGGAGTACAGATTATCATAAATATTATATAAATAAAAATTAATATAGCATAGAAAGATAAACTTATTTAAATTTTTTTGCTTTTTGAAGTCTTGAAATTAACTTTGAAATTTAAATTAGCTTAAATAGCCAATTTTTTCAGTCGACGGTAGCAACGTACGGTTGCCGAGTTGGTAAAACTTTTTTCATGCATTTTTTCTTAATTCTTTTTAAGTTTCAACTGCTTTGATATTTATCTCATTTAGATTCAATAACTTCAATAATGATCAAGGATCCCATTACTGTAGTCGCCACTCGCGAGTAGAAATTTTTTATTCATATTAAAATATGAATATTAATATTACAAATTTTTTAGTAACATATTGCTATATAAATAATTTCTAAAAAAATGTTTGTTAATTTCTTCTGAATTAATAATGGATTTTTACAATAATAATCAAATTTTATTATACGCTCAATTGAGTAAATCTTTTTAACAACTTTGTTTTGATTGGTTCATTTAGTTAAAGTAAATCATTAAAATTAATTAAGTTCTGAATATTTCAATTGCAGAATCTTTTCAAACACTAAAAGTTACAAGGAAATTATTACTATTACTTCTATTTAAATTATCTATTACAATAAAAATGCAAAAAAGTATTGAGGTTTTCTGATAAATTTACTATAAATAGTAATTATAAAACTACCAAACTGCATATTAATCTTAACAATACAATTCTTTTGATTCTCATAAAATTTTCTATTTAATGATGTCAATTTCAAACTGGCCAATTGAGCTAAAAGTTATGGTAAAATAAATAATTTTTTTTTATCATAAACATTCACA